CTCCTCTAGGACCATGGCTTTTTCTCAATTCAAAAAACGCAGAGAATGGACTTGCATCTTATGGAGACAGGTCTCGCCTGGTGTCCTCAGAAGAACGAACTCAGAAGACCGCAAGGACAGAGACCACGCCTGTGAGAAATGAGATGCTGTGTTCTTCCTGATAGTCACGTGACCTTCACACGTTTTAAATGGAAAATTATTTAAACATTACAGCATTCATATTATTGACTTATTGTTTTTCCCCATTTCAAAATATATACTATGCATAAAAACTTTATAAATAAATATTGCACAAAATAAATAAAACTGATTTTAATATGAATTTCAGCATTTCATTTCATTTCATTTATGACTCGTTTCCACTGACTGGTACAGTACGGTACCGTTTGGGGCGGTACGAGTCACCTCTATCAGGCTTGCGTTTCAACCACAAAGGGTACCTTTTTGGTGGGTGTGGTGTACAACAAAGTTTAAGTCGACGTCATGCTTGCTCGAATAAATGTCTACAGTAAGGCTGTACGGGTCGTTGATGTATCATATGAGAAGCACTTCTCACAAAACAGATGCTTCATACACATACTTTTTAATAAATGTTTATTACTAACTTTTTTTATGAACAGGAGTTGATTATAACTGCAGATCAATAGCAGTGCAAAATAGGCTAGAGTAACGTCTGTAATTATATAAAATAAATACATAAATGCAACATATAAGAACACATACAGCCTCTTACGGTCTGCGATATATTATTAATTACAGAAAAACTACAAACATTATACATTTGATAACTTATATGAGTTCAAAAACACACGCAATATAGCCCACAGTCAGCGCAAATCTCTTTTCTGTGTCTGCAATTTTCACCAGCACATGTAAGCTCTGTTAGAGAGTCATTCTGTCATTCCCAGTTCATAATAATTCAAAAGGCAAAGATAAACATGGCAGTTTGTTCATGATTCAGGTTGTTAAACACTTTTGCTCGTGTGTTTTGCCGGTGTTCTCCTTTTTTTCCGCGCTTTATTCTCACGCTTGTCCTTTTCTTTCTGAATGGATCAGATGACAGAGACACTTCAACAATCACGTACACATTATTATCATCAGCTCAAGAAGTTCTTTATATCAAATATAGACGCAAGGACGCACTACCGGAAGAAAGCGAATACCGCTCGCACTTTTAGACGGGCTCGTAAAGCAACAACAGGACACGACCGATTTTATTCTTCTTTGCATTGTGTCCGTTCATCAAGACGACGACACGGTTTGTTTGAGCTCGGGTCATCCATGGCTGGTTATTTTATGCTTATAGTATATCCATGTAATCTCTCGGCTCTGTATTAGAACATGGCGGATCCTTTGTTTACAATCGGTCTAGCTCCACGAGCTTGTGATATATCTCTGTAACCAATCAGCGTTCGGCTGTGCGTGTAGCTTTATCTTTTGGTACCCTTTTTAGTTTTTGGTACCCTTTCGAAAGGGTGCCGAAAAAGTAGTACGGTACGGTTTGGTTCGGTACACTTATTGACAGTGGAAACGGCCATAAAAGTGTACCAAACTGAACCGTACCATAAAGTACCACTCAGTGGAAATGGGCCATCAGGGAAAGTCCTGAGGAAAATAAGTGATATCTCCAAACTTTAATAATAGATTTAGTTTTATAAATGCTGCGCTTCCCACCTCCAGTTGCAATGACTTCTGGGACTTCTAGAGCGAGATCGGTGCTTAAGTCTGCATTGGTGAGTCCTTGATATCAAGAACACATCTGGGAAGTTTCACGCGTCCTCCGTACTTATGGTCTTAAGTATAATTTGGAACTGAACTTTGGCAGCTGATGATGACGTTACACGAGAACACAAGGATGCAAGACCGCTGAAGAATGCATATTGAGAAACCACCCATGTGTTGAACATGACCACAGAGTTTAGTGTCAATTGGCCATTGTGAACTTTGTTTAATGGGTGCTCAAATTTTTATTGGCTAATGGCAGCCTTTTTGTGATGTGACCTTGGTCAAAGACACGGCATTCCAAATTTTGCATTAATTGGACAAATGGTTGCTCGATTGTTGCTATTTTCCTATTTTAAGCTTATAGTACAATCATGTAGCCAAAGTTGGCAATTTTTGGTATGTGACCTCAACTTGATCTTATACATATGTGTACCAAGTTTGGTGATATCTCATTCCGTTTAAAAGTTATAGCTACAATTAGCAATTACCTTCAATAAGGATGGAACATTATTGTGTACTGTATTGTGTGAGAATCAAAACTTTTTTTGTTAGTTTTTCATATTACATGTCCAGTAAATATTCTGAACTGGTTTAGTTCCAATTGGGCAAATACCTATGGCTAGTTCACAAAAAGTAGGCTTCAGACAAAACTCTGTGTTGCGGCTAACCCAAGGTCTCCAAATTTGTAAAGAATCTATAATAAACAGGTGTATGAACAGTCGAATGAATAGTGGCTAAAACTGTCCAAAATATTTTTGTTTTTGGGCCCATTTGGCTGATTTTTGGTGTGGATGTAGTTTACCAGAGTAATAACATCTGATCAAGTTTCAGCTCTTTAGGCCTTACGGTTTGGTCTGACTGATACAGCATTTGGCAGAAATATAATTATAATAATAAAAAATCTTAGCAAAAACAATAGGGTTTCAGCACTTTGCGCTTAAACTCCTAACATTAAAGCCTTGAGCGGCATTATAGGGGTTCAAGCATTTAAGGACTTTTAATGCTTATTATGTCTTTGGCAGGTCAGAATTTATGGCTGACATTAAAACATCCACAATAGACAAAAAGTGCAAAAAATTTTATGGTTAAACAATTATATCAATAATAGTCATTAGTCATGCTTATACACACATGCGTACGCTTATATGCTTATGCCACATATAGAAATTTGACTTAAATAAAACAAAATGTTTACTACTAGGCTTTCTTTTGTGTGTGTGTGTGTGTGTGTGTGTTTATATATATATATATATATATATATATATATATATATATATATATATATATATATATATATATATATATAGTATATCATCAGCTTTTAGTGTAATTATTATAATGTAATATATATATATATATATATATATATATATATATATATATATATATATATATATATATATATATATATATATATATATTAGGGATGTAACAGTATCATAATTTCAAGGTAAGATAATACCTCGGTATGAATGGTAAGGTACGGTATTTATTGAATAATTTACAGGAAAAACAAAACTAATGAAAAGACTCAAAAAAGTGCCAAAAGTGTTTAATTACCTTAGCACTGAACATATCAATGACATACAAATTAGCTATCTATCTGTAAGTTTCGAAACAGGAACTTTAATTTTTTAATTTTAATAACAAAAAACTATTAAACTATATTAAAAAATAAAGTTTCAATTTAGTGTTGTTGAAAACTCTCCACATTCAACATTTAATCACTCACTCACTTAGATAGAGATGGGTTTTTTAAGGAAAATTTTCATATAACTATAATCTGGTAAAAGCTGGGATCTCTGGGCATGTCCCCTGCAACAGAAAAAAAAAAAAACTCTTATTTGGGACTGAGGTTTCTGGGACAGAGAGATAAGATTTAGCCAAGGTTGACAGCAGTGGGTAACGTTGTGCATTGTCTTTCCATCACTTAAGAGGACAAGCCATGAGTGAGATAGAGGTCTCTTTGCGGTACAAGTCAATGTCTGCATCAATCTAACAAGTGTGCTGTGTTCCGCAGTCCCCATGACTGTTTTTAGTCATATTCCCCGACTTATACTTCACCACAGTCTGGCAGTGCCTGCATATTGTTTTTTTCTTTGTCTGTCACCTTTTCTCTTTTTTTGTATCTTTTTAGAAAGAAACCGAAATTCTTCCACACATCCGACTTAAAACCTGCTTTAGGTTCGATCCTTTTCAGCTCTTTTTCTTTCCCGCTACTAGCAACACACTCCATTTCCGCATTACTGGATCTGTAGTAACAACAGACCGCAAAGGATGATGGCCACGCGTAGGCTGAAGGGAATTATAGATCTCGATACCTCCTGTTCACTTCATTCGCCTAAGCAAACTTTTCTCAGAAATATAGTTTTATTGAGTCATGCTCCTACGGTAATATTGAAAAAAATTACTATTGCGGTATGCGGTATACATATATATACATACATATATATATATATATATATATATATATATATATATATATATATATATATATATATATATATATATATATATATATATATATATATTTGTAGTTTGAATTGTAAGCTTGGACTAAGTCTGATTTTATATGCAAAAGCAGTGTTTTTACTCTAAACTAGGTCTATCAGTAACTAATAAGTTGTCCTTTGCTGCCATCCATTGGCTACAATGATTATTTCAAACAAAATGAATCTTGACAAATGTTTTTAACAGTTGTAAATCTCAAACCCTTTTAAATGTTGTATTTGTTTAGAATATGTCACTTTTTTCAATAATTACTTATCTAGGAAATCCAGAGATTACTTCAACACTTATTTTGTGGTGAATTATCAAAAAGCAGGGATTAGCTTGCAAAAGTAGGTTTTTCATATTTTAATAAATCTTTAATTAACAGTTTGAATGACAGCTGTGGTTTTAGTGTCAAAGTGTTCAGTATGATCAGGCCTACCTCATTCCATTCAAAAGTTATAGCTACATTTAGCTTCTATTATTATGGAACTTTTTTGTGTACTGTTCTGTAAAAAAAATCAACTTTTCAAAAATCTTTCAAAATTTAAACTTTTTTTCAATATTTATTGATATGTAGTGCCCAGAGTATATTTCTGAATTTGTTTGGTTCCGATCAGGCAAAAAAACGTAGGACTAGTTTGCAAAAGTTGGTTTTGAACAAATCTTGGAGAAGCAGAAAATGGTGCTTTAATGGATTAAACTGCTTTTTCTGCTTTTATAAACCTAACTTAGCCAAATATATAGCAAGATTATCCATTTTTCTCAGAGTTTTTTTTTTGTACCTTACGGGGTTCAAACTCCCAGTTGTGTATGACTCTTGCTGGAACGATGGCAGTGTCATTCCAGTGGCAACTGCTGCAGTAATACTGACCGGTATAATCACACTGACGTGCCTCATTAGGAATACCACCTACACAACACAACACAATATCAAACAACCTTCTATGCAAAATGAAAATTCTAAATATCCATGCTGACTCATTAACCAAGCAAAAGAACCTTTTATACATATACAAAAAGACTCACGCAATGAAATGGGTGTCCGGCATTCAGAACATCTGTAGTCTTGTTTGTCCAGACCAATCTCAGGACAGATGTTGAGTTCATACTCAGACTGATGGCTGACCTTTGATCTCACACATGGTTTGTTGATAAGACTCATGCACTTGCTATGGCAGCGGTAATAGCAACCTGGAAATGAAATATGACCATTTAAAACAAAATACAGCTCATAAATTACACAACTAAGATCTGAATGAATTTAGTAAAACATTTAATATACCATGTATACTACTAAGCATCTTGTAACAAAGACAAAAAACCCATACTAGATGGATGGTCAAACCATCACTGTAAGATCTGAATATGCTTAAGCAATTAAATTATTAAGTAATTTAAGCCCAGGTTCAGTATAAAAAGCTAAATGGTAGGGCTGCTCGATTATGGGGAAAATCATAATCACGATTATTTTGGTCATAATTGTAATCACGATTATTCAAAACGATATACAGTTGAAGTCAAAATTAGTCAGTCTCGTTATATATATATATATATATATATATATATATATATATATATATATATATATATATATACACATGTAAACATATATATATATACATATATATATATATATATATATATATATATATATATATATATATATAAAACAAGACTGACTAATTTTGACTTTAACTGTATATCGTTTTGAATAATCGTGATTACAATTATGACCAAAATAATCGTGATTATGATTTTCCCCATAATCGAGCAGCCCTACCATTTAGCTTTTTATACTGAACCTGGGCTTGAATTACCTAATAATTTAATTGCTTAAGCATATTCAGATCTTACAGTGATGGTTTGACCATCCATCTAGTATGGGTTTTTTGTCTGTTACAAGATGCTTAGTAGTATACATGGTATATTAAATGTTTTACTAAATTCATTCAAATCTTAGTAGTGTAATTTATATATATATATATATATATATATATATATATATATATATATATATATATATATATATATATATAAATTTATATATTTATATATAAGAAGCTTTTTTTCACAACATTTTCTATAATATTTTTTTCTTGTGGAGAAAGTCTTATTTGTTTTATTTTGGGCTAGAAGCAAGTTACATTTTTAAAAAAAACTATCTTAAGGTCAATATTATTAGCCCCTTTCAGCAATATTTGTTTTGGATTGTCTGCAGAAGAAACTACTGTTATACAATCACTTACCTGATTACCATTACTTGCCTAATCATACAACAAAACAATTTTTGTCATGTATTGTAACGCACTTATAAAAGGTGGTACATTTAAAAAATTAGACACTGTATTCTACTCATGTAAATTACATACTCTTTGTCCTCCACACACTGTTAGTATCTTTATCAAAATCTATCACCTTTCCTTCCCTGACGACCTGAATTACAGTATTGGATCCATATTTCTTAACAAAGTTGTCTCATTTTCACTGTAATGGCACTAAACAAAGAATCTTCAGTAGAGTTCCAGCTGAAATTCCAATCAGTTTGTAATGATTGTCTATTTGTTATAAGACATTTACATAGACTATATTTTAAAATACAAACTGCAAGAATTAATGGTGTTGTGATAATTGGATTTATCAAATATTAAAATCAATATTTAGGTATTGATTAGGTATTTCCACCGTCAAAATGACTAACAATAAAATATTGTTAAAGAAATTATATGATGAGGAGTATCAGGTTTGTTAAAGTTTGTTAAATCATATAATGAGGAGTATCTTTAGAATTGCGTACAAAGACAGTATGTCCAGCTATAGGAGGGCTCTAAAATCTGCCAGGACCGAGCACCTGCGCAAACTGATAGAAAATAATCATAACAATCCTAGATTTTTATTTAACACCATCTCTAAATTAGCAAATAATCGGTCATCCTTGGAACAAACTACTCCACCGCAAATTAGTAGTGATGACTTCATGAATTTTTTTCAGAAATAAAATAGAAGGCTTTAGACAGAAAATAGGAGATGCCAAACTTTCTGCACCGGCTTATACTCCCAATCCTGTAAATATTTCATTGAATCATAATAATAACCTACACTGCTTCAAAATCATAGAACACGAAGAGTTAGTAAAAATTATAAATAGCTCTAAACCAGCTACGTGTATGCTGGACTCAATTCCAACAAAATTACTGAAAGAGCTGCTACCTGCTATAGGAGAACCCCTTCTTAACATTATCAACTCTTCTTTATCTATAGGCCATGTTCCAAACTCTTACAAGCTAGCTGTTATTAAACCTATTTTTAAGAAACCGCAACTAGACACCAACAACTTAGCTAACTATAGACCTATCTCAAATCTTCCATTTATGTCTAAAATACTAGAAAAAGTTGTTTCCACTCAATTATGCTCTTTTCTGCAGACGAACAATATTTTTGAAGTGTTTCAGACAGCCTTCACAAGTCAGCCCAGTAAAGTATGGGGTGCCTCAAGGATCAGTTTTAGGCCCTTTACTGTTTACATTTACATGCTACCTCTGGGAGACATTATTAGAAGACATGGGATCAGCTTTCACTGCTATGCAGATGATACTCACTTATATATTTCAACTAAACCTGACGAGACGTCTGAACTTTCTAAACTAACTGAGTGTATCAAAGACATCAAAGACTGGATGACCAACAATTTTCTTCTCTTAAACTCCGACAAAACAGAATTATTACCTATTGGGCCTAAATCTTGCACACAGCAGATCTCGCAACTCAATTTACAGTTAGAGGGATACAAAGTTAGTTTTAGCTCTACTATAAAAGATCTGGGTGTCATATTAGACAGCAATCTAACTTTTAAAAACCATATATCCCATGTCACAAAAACTGCCTTCTTTCATCTGAGAAATATCGCTAAATTACGAAATATGCTATCCATCTCAGATGCAGAAAAGCTAGTCCATGCTTTTATGACTTCGAGACTGGATTACTGTAATGCTCTATTTGCTGGCTGCCCAGCATCCTCTATTAACAAACTTCAATTCGTACAAAATGCAGCAGCCAGAGTTCTGACCAGGTCTAGAAAATATGATCATATCACCCCAATTTTATCCTCCTGACACTGGCTGCCTGTTAATTTTCGTATTGAATTTAAAATATTACTTCTCACCTATAAAGCTCTAAATAATCTAGCTCCTATTTATCTAACCAACCTTCTGTCTCGCTACGAACCAACTCGCTCTTTAAGATCTCAAAATTCAGGGCTTCTGGTAGTACCTAGAATAGCAAAATCAAGTAAAGGAGGTCGAGCCTTCTCTTTCATGGCTCCTACACTCTGGAATAGCCTTCCTGATAACGTCCGAGGCTCAGACACACTCTCCCAGTTCAAAACTAGATTAAAGACCTATCTGTTTAGTAAAGCATACACTCAATGCATCACCTAGCGGGTTCCACACAGGCTTCTGCATCTTGCTTATATACACTATGAACAGCAGCTACGCTAATTATTCTCTTTATTCTCTATTTTCACCGGGGAATACTCATCCCAAGGTCCTCAGATTATGCAGAGTCACTGATTGGATCCAAGACCAGCGACGTGATGATCCCAAGGATTCCATATCCGGGACCAGGCCATATCCTGAGCTGCTGCTGCGCTGATGGTCGTGGGGAGTGGAGAACATGAGTCTGATTCCAGCGACGTTCCAGGGACAGACGAGTCTTAGCTGAGGCCATCTTCCAGCCTTAACCACGGCGAATGAAGCTCTGCACAAGACTTTTGGCCAGCGGAGAAATTAAAATGGTCGTGCCCAACTGAGTCTGGTTCCCTCAAGGTTTTTTTCTTCACTCCCATCAGGTGAAGTTTTTTTTCTCTCTCCGCTGTCGCCACTGCCTCGCATGGTTCACGATTGGTAGAGCTACGCATCGATGAATTGGCTCTTCAGTGTTTGAACTCTCAGTAATGATTAAATCACACTGAACTGAGCTAAACTGAACTGAACTGAACTTAAACACTAAAACCTGAACCACACTGTTCCAGTTACTATGACCATTTATGTGAAGCTGCTTTGACACAATCTACATTGTAAAAGCGCTATACAAATAAAGCTGAATTGAATTGAATTGAATATCTGGCCAAATCTGAAGGATAATGAGATCGTTTGACTTGTAGAGCCTTTTTCTGTATTATCAACAAAAGGAAGACACAATTGTAACAAATGTGTATTTATTAACAAAATAGTAATCAAGGGTAACTACAATTACTAAATGTACAATAAATGAAGTGCATAGGCGAGTAATGAGGGTGATTAGTTAAAGTAAACCTTATTCTAAAATAACAAAGAATTGAGGAAGTTTTTGTTAGTAATGAATACCAGTTATAAACATCTAATTCATTAGAATATTTTATACTGAAACACACTATGCCAAGGACTAATTTCTGCCTTTGATGCAGTGGCTGGAAGAAGTTAGATCTTCTTGCAGATATTGAAGCATGAAACGAGCAGACTTGGCTTTTTTGAGCCAAGAGAGGAAGAAATCTGTAGTTTCTGGAACACACAGAATAGAGATTTCTGTAGGTGGTGGTTCGATGTCAGGGACATGCCGACGTCTTTATCCTTGAGTGTAGAAATTTGTATCTTCTGGAACATGCAGAAATTAGAGATTTTTGGAGGTGGTGGTCTGATGTCGGGGATACGCCGACGTCTTTATCTTTAAGCGTAGAAATCTGTATCTTCTGGAACACACAGAAATTGGAGATTTGTGGAGGTGGTGGTCTGATGTCGGGGACACGCCGACGTCTTTATCCTTGAGCGTAGAAATCTGTATCTTCTGGAACACACAGAAATTGGAGATTTCTGGAGGTGGTGGTTCAATGTCGGGGACACGCCGATGTCTTTTCTCTGAAGGTAGAGTTCCTGGAAATCTGGGACACGCAGATTTCTGGAGGTGGTGGTCTTGAAGCTATGGTTTCAGACACCTTGTAAAAAACACTGTGAATCCAAATACCAAATCCTTGCTGGAACACGCAGCAAGAGTTCTGATGTCTAGGACAGAACCCCGCAAACCACCATCAACCACACTTTGACAACACTTGACCACACTTTTTACCCTTTGACCACCTTTCGACTACACTTTGACCACTCTCTTTGATTGAGAGAATGTCTTTTAATACTTTCTCTGGGAGGCAGGATTGAAGAATGTCACCTTTCAAATCCAGCATTGTGATTGGATGATCCTGTGAGTTGGTCACTGGGAGGTGTCATCCATAATGTGGCCTGCATTTGCATAGTCAAAGTCCACCAGTTAACTATTATAATATTTAGGAGTCTTAAATATTTCCCTATGCATTATTCACTTTCCAAACCACATCCAATTTACCCAAGGCATTATTTAAAATATACAGAGTCTAAACATCACTATGTGATGTTGATCTTTACCCAAGCATTAATATATAAACCTTAATAAGCAAAGTTTCATACAGTGGAGTATTTCAAGCAGTGCATATTAAATATATACATGATCATTTGAATCTACAGGTATATGAAGTGAAATATTCCATTTGTGTCTCTTTTGTGAAATGTTTTCTGATCTATGGATCAATTAATTGGATCAAGAAGCTGTTTTGCAGGTTCTGGGCTCTTAACACCTTTGTCTTTCAGATAAACAAAAGACAGATGGTCACTGTCTCAATTACCACTTTCTGATGAGCTTAAGAAAAGGGTCAGAGTTTAGTGTTAACTCTGCAGCATTTGTTTATATTGGAAATTAATTTCCACAAGTTAATTTCCACTAGTTAGTGGCTTTACCGCTGATCACTACAATGGAATTTGCAAATAGTCTTTTTGTTTTGAATTGTTAAGTTTGAAGTCATTTGAAAGACTGGTGCTAGCATATCTGAAGCACATCACTGGACCCCTGCTGGACCCCCTACAGTTTGCCTATAGAGCAAACCGGTCTATGGATGATGCAGTCCACATGGGGCTGCATTATACGCTACAACATCTGGACAAACCAGGAAACTAGGCAAGGATTCTGTTTATGAACTTCAGTTCTGCCTTTAACACCATTGTCCCATCACTGCTTGAATACAAACTGACCCAGCTCTCTGTTGGATCACCAGCTTTCTGACAGATAGACAACAGCTAGTGTAACAGGATTATTTCAGGCATACTGATTTCCCTATATTTTCCTCCTGTTTACTTACTGTTCATATAAAATTGTTTTGTGTTCACAATATAAATGTAAAAAGAGTCTGCAAAGTGACAGTGGATTCACCTCTTCTCCCATCTTGGGTTAACGTCAAGGTGGTATAGTCCAAGCAGCCATACCTGTTACACTATTGTTTGAGCGGTCTTTTCCACCTTTATCTTGAACTAAGTAGTGTACATTTAATGTAATGAGCTGAAGGTGCTGGTCTATCATAATAACATTCTCTGTGCAGACTCAAAATGGTGTCCTCTCGTCCTTAACTACACAACGCAGAGCAAAAGAGAGTATGGTTACACTAGTCAGAATGGGCAAAATCACATAGACTCTATTGTGAAGAAAGCTTAGCAGAGACTGTACTTCCTTCGTCAGCTGAGGAAGTTTAACCTTTTACTCAGCTTTCATCCAATCCATCCTCTGCACTTCAATCACTGCCTGGTTCGGCTCAGCTGCCAAAACAGACCTCAGTAGACTAAGGCGAATAGTCCCGACTGCTTAACGAATCACTGGCACTACCCTTCCTACACTTCAATAACTGTACTTTTCCAGGTTGAGTTATGGAAAAGAGCTGCATATCTGTGTGTTAGTTTGGAACAACAGTAAATGATTGGGTAGTTTGGATTTGAATAAAAATTTACTTTTACTGGGTTCAGCTAAGATAGTCTTACCTGTGCAGGTATACCAAGTTTGAATGAGACCCCATATAATGGTGCTACACTTGTCACACATCTGTTTCACACTCTTGCTCTTCTCCTTTGAGAAGCGATGCTCTAACATAACCTGCAGGTTGGGCTCATCTTCCTCGGGATCCTGTTCAAATTGATCACAAAAATACAAAACAAATTTGTTATTTTGATAATTATAATTATTAAATTATTCTGTACAAGCCAAATTACGTAGATGAATATATTGATGTCTCACATAAACTCAAACATGTTTTAAAGAAGCAACCTGTATTATATATGGACAAATTTTAGGCTGGGATGTCTAAAACTCCATCTTGCAGAGAGCTTAGTTCCAACTAACCTCAACATACCCATGTGGCGGTTTCTAGTGTGTTTATAAATACCTGCATTAGCTGATTTAGGTAAGTTTAAGATATAGGAGTTAAAATTTGCAGGATGCTAATCTTCCAGCAGAAGGAATGGAGACTTATGTTTTATACAGTACAACAGCTGTACTTGCATATATTTAAACAGCAATAAGCTGTTTAAAAGAACTGTGTGTAGGTATACTGTGTCCACTAGAGTGATGGAAACCAGGTGAGTCTCTTTTTTTAAATGTCCCAATGTTAAAATAGTAACGTGATGAAGGAGTGCATTTTTGTTTGGACAGATTGATAGGTGCCATGTTTCTATAACATGTCAACAGAACACTTTTTGCAAAGAAACCGAGATTAAAATATTTGTTCCAACTCTGTAAAGTTTTATAAGGTTTGACCGTTTTTAAAACAGAGCATGTTTGTAAGAAAGACAGTAAAATCGCTATGTAATTCTTAATTGCTATAATCTCCATGGCCGCATGGTGTCGGTAAATGCTAATATGCATGTGTGTGTGTGTGTACTGCAAACAACATTTGTGTGCGACTCATCGATTTAAAAAGGCTTGAATAAACTCTACCACAAATACATGAAAAAGTAGTAGTATTTTGACTAATGAGCTGTATTTCAGTTTCACCCATGTCTGTTCCCATCACTGACTGCTGTATACCTGATGTAACACAGGTGAAGCAAACATGCACTTGGGAGCGCTAAGCGGGGCGAAGCAGCTCATTTGTATTTAAAGCCACAGACTACATAATAGCTACACTGTACTTAGACCCCAAAATAGGCATACGTTGCAGGCTATAATAAATTATCTGATTTGTATTTTGAACTAAAACTTTAGAGACACATTCTAGAGACACCAAAGGCTTATTTTGCATCTTGTAAAAGGGGTAAAATAGGTGGGCTTTAATGCTTATAAAACCCATACACATTCAAATTATATACACACGTTTTTTAACTTACACATTTTTTCAAAACTGTACCTATTGAAAAACAAATTTTGACTTAAGTCAAATAGATTTTGCAGTTTAATTTAAATTCAGCATGTTCATTTATGGCTTTTATGAACAATGAACTTTTATGAAAAATTATGTTCTGCAATTTTGACTGATCATACAAACCTGTAGTTCTTGTAGTTTAAGTCGAAGGTGGATAAGCTTGACCACTGCATCTTTTTGTTTCTCTGAATGCTCTGGTAGTTCCAGGATCAGTCTCTTGCACTCCTCTATGGCAAGTTTCAGCTGCTCTACATCAGACGCCACAAACAAACCCTGTGCATACATCCACACACAATTCAGTGCTTAAGTCTAAATGATTAAAAAACTTACATTGGTTACAGTGATCATCCAAAATGTTTAATTCACAACCATTAACTTGATTGACCTCATACATTTCAGAACTAGTGTGACTTATTTTCTTGTTGTCTTAAGTTATTAGTTTATTATTTTTGATATACATACATGTCATAATTCTAGATTTTAATTTAAAAATCCACAAGAAAAACACCTAAAAAAGCTTTTCAGTTGTTTTCAATGACACTACAACATTTTTTAGAATGACAGCATCAATGCGGTGCTAGGCATTCAGTATTATTCGATGGACATGCACCCTTAAGAATTTCAGGTAGCTAACAGTAGTTTACTGGTACCAGAAAAACATAATAATCTGCAACACACTGCCTATACAGCAAGAAGGTCACTGATCACTGGTCACTAAATCCCTGCTAGACCAGAAAGCTAGGTTACTCCAGGTACTCCAGGTGCAAAGACAAAGATATGTGGTATGATGTGAATTGGATATATTATATTAGTTGTAGTGTGTGAATAGAAGAGTATGTGGATTTGGGTTGTACTCTCAGGGTTTTTTTTATTGCAAAAAGGGCATCTGCTGTTGATATAGGCCAAAGCAATAGGTTCACTTTACTGTGGCAACCTGACAAAGCAGGGAATAAACCGAAGGAACAAGAGTGAGCCTTTTAGGGGGCGTACTCACATCAAGCTATCTGAACAGAGCCCAAGCGCATTTCCCGGTTTGTTTGAGAAGTGTGAGTGATCTGAATCGGGCTCAGGTGCGGTTCAGTTGGCTGGCCCTAGCCCGGTTGGATGAGGTGTGGCACAGCGTGGTTTACTTGGGCTTTGGCCTGAACTCAAAACTAAAGATGAGACGTGACTTTTAACAGACTGCTTCATATGGATTTATTTATCATTCTTACTATTTAAAAAATGCAAACTGTTGTAGTTTATTACATAGACAAACCCCTCGCTGCATGACTGCTGCACCTTTAGCAAACCTCCTAATACCTCCAGCACAAGGACTTTTATGATTATTTATTAGTGTCAAAAATGACTGATCTGTGTGTCACTGGAAATCAAACGACTGAAATGATAACTTAAGAAATCTTCACTGCATTGAGCGAGAGCACTTTTCTTCTGTTAAACTGACCAGCGCATCATCGATGACGTAAGCATGCTCCAGCTCGAATGCTATGTGAGTGCAGACCATCGGGGCAGAGGGGATGGGGGGCAAGCTTGCTTTGACATGGTTCAAGGCAACTGTACATAGCGTGCTTATGCCCTTAGTGCTATTCTTCTAAGATTTTTAGAGGGGAGGGGGGTCTTTAATGTGCTCACAAAGTCTTGCAACTTAGAAATCAATTTACTTTATATTTACATGAGGTCCTCTGTCAGCCACAATCTTCAGTCAGTTGTATTTTGGTCAGCATGACATTACAACAGAATCAAAATGACATTGTGGTAAAGTTACCGTTTTTATCATGTGCTCTCCTGAACTGCATATAGTTTCCTGATAAAAGCATCACATGCATTTTATGTTTAAAGATGCATGCCTTTGGAATAATATGTAACACATTTACAAAATATAATTGTGATGGGGAATACTCTTCTGTCAGTTTGTCTATTTTAATTATATTGGCGGTCAAATATGGAAAATGATTCCAGTATGATAATCCGACAAAGAATAAGTAAAAAAGTGATAAGGGAAACCCAATTATTTAACAATTAACACACATAATAATGTAAACTAATGAGGTAAACCTAATCAAAATGATGCAGCATATATTTCACAGAGCATGCTATTATGGATAGCGTGATCTGAATTCAACAGTTAAATGTTCACTCAGTAATATTGACATGGTTACTTAGATTTGTCGCATGAACACACAGAAAAAGCACATTTGCACTTTCACCTGCATCCAAATACAGCAAGTTGAACCACTAATAGAAGAAAGTAAGAAAAATTGACAACTTATTTTATGTATTATTTATTTAATCCAGGTGGCCTTTTTTAACATTCCCAATTATCAGTAAACTATACACCTTAAAAATGCCATCTGAAAAGTCTGTATCTTCATCATTTTGAGAAAGCAGAATAGGTTTTACAACAGGCCTTGTGTACCAGCTCCTGCACAGGGCTCTTTAATAGTTCCCACAGGCCACCGTGCTCATAGGAGTTGAATATCAATTAGGAAAACCACCTGTCCAACTTTCAAACTTTGCCATGTGATCTCCATTTCTCTCTGCCCTGTAGTTCTGGTAAGTAGCAGCTGAGGCTCAGAACTGGTTAGCCAATACCTAGATACGATGCCATCTGCATTTCACTCAAGAGCTCACTAGAATCATAAAGAACCTGTGGCAAAGAGTCATCAAAGAGTCCCATTAGTAACATATTTTGGGTCACAGCGTTCACCTCAGCAATGTCTAATGAGATTTAGCCAAGTAGCTTGGAATTAAGTATGGCCACAAAATCTAGAAATGTTTGCAAGACTGCAACAACGAATAGATTAAATCAATTAAAATTGATTACTTAAAGCGTTGGCAATGAATTTCATAATTGATTCGCCATGTGGCGCAACACAGAGACGTTTGATTATTAAAAAAAAAAAAAAAAAAAAACTTTAGTTGAGCGTAGAGCAGAGTGAAAGCACTCTGCCTTTCTCACGCACTAGGGTTGTAACGGTATTAATTTTTTACGGTATGATAATCGTCTAAAACAATACCACGGTTTGACGGTTTCGCGGTATACGGTATGTTACAAATGTTACAAAATAATAGAACAGTGAAGCAAATTTGACTTTTTCCAAATAATATATTTTCAGTTACTATAAACAACACCACTTACAATGAACAAATAAAAAAATAAGAAAATAATAAATAATGTGTCAAAGTCCAAATAAAGTCCAAATAAACATGGTGCAAATCCTCAGTAAAAAATAGATATAAATATTTACTATACTATAAATAGTTACATAACGAAACTAGATTCAATATGGAACATCCTTAGGTTTTATGTGCCAGCATGGATATGGTTGTCTGTGGATATGGATTTGGATATGGTTGTCTGCAATGGACACAAACAGCTGCACCTTCATTTGCGTCTTTTGAAAACAGCAAGGGCAGCAGTTCGTCTTTGCTGTGTCACTGTTTTGTCATGTTTCTGTGCTGCTGTGGATGCAAAAGTACTTAGTATGAGAATTATTTCATGCAAAACTTTTTTTTTTGCGTTTTATTCAGCCGCGCATAAATGTATGCCTATCTCTCATTCCGTGTTGTTCAAAAAGCTCACTGTTGGTTCACAAACAAAAGCGAAACCTATGCTTATTGGTTGTAATATAGCGAGTTTGAACCAATCTGGGCATGGAGGAGGGACAATGCATCAATGTATCATGTCTGGTTTGTCCGGAGACACAGTGACGAGCGTTTCTTTGTCAAATCAGCGTTGTCAAATTTTGATGACGTAACCGCACTGATTCCGGAGCCTCTGAAAGTCCGCGTTATGTGATACAGCACTGGAAAGCTGAGATTCTCTTCTTTATGCCAATCTTTGAATTGTATGAATCGGATCAGCGGATCAAAAGTTATTAAACATTTAAGAGCAATACTTATTTTTAGTATTTTACTATTTCCAGCCACTTGCTTGAATGCATTTTGGGAGTAAGTGATGAATTTACTTGCTGAATTCTGTGTGTTTTACTTTTGTGAAAGAGGCATGCGCGCGGCCGCAAATAAACATGGCGATGCCTATCTCACGTTATAGATTACAATCAAGATCATTTATACATTTTTTAAACAACAAAAAGCACTCACTTACACAGTTTTGTAAATTGAAATATCAGGTAGCTGATGACATGATGACCAATCGTGTACATTTTTTTATTAAAACGAAAAAGTATAATAAAATGCATACATCTGTCATACAGCGGCATTGTGGCTGTGGTGTGTCCCATGACAAACATGACGCATCGCCGCAGAAAAATTAAAGGTGAATGTTCTAAAATAATGATCACCAAACAAAACTCACTCCAGGGGCCAGATAGAATATTTTAAACTCACCAGTGAAAAGGTTAATAACAGTAGTAAAGCAGCTGGGGTATAGTTAATTTGCATTGCAAGACTAAAGACACATTTTTATTCACACACCTTTTTTGGATCATTATTTTTCAATCTGTTGTCATGTATAGTTGCACTGCAAAAAAGCTTTTCTAAGTAATTTTGTCTCGAATCCAGTCCAAATTCCTAAAAAAATGTTAAAACAAGACTAGACAAGAAAAATGGCATAAAAAAATTAAGTGATGCGAAAAGCTTCTGTTTGAGATTATATCTCATTAGATTATTTTTCTTACCTCATTGGCAAATAATTGCTTGTTTTAAAACTCAAAATCTTTGGAACCAAATATCCTTCCACAGCTATGCTGATGACACTCGGATCTACTTAGCCTTACTGCCTAATGACTACAGCCCCATTGACACCCTCTGCCAATGCATTGATGAAATTATCAATTGGATGTGCCAAAACTTTCTTCAGTTAAAAAAGAGAAAACTGAAGTCATTGCATTTGGGAATACAGATGAGGTTCTCACGGTAAATAGCTGCATTTCCACTGTCGGGCCAGTGCGAGCCAGGGCTTTTATCGGGCCAGGCCAATCGCCCGAGAGGTTAAGTAATGAGGCTGAAATCATGTAGCTTTTCCACTGTCAGGCTAGTACCTCGCAGCGTGTCACGCAAACCCCGCCCCCAAAACATCCCCCAAATCAAAACGTCACACGACCCACCCACTTCAGCGGTAATAAGGCAGATAAAGCACACCATCGCATCATCACGAAATGATTAAAATGAAGACAACCCAAACAAACTAATGACACGTTACCTGACAGCATTACATTATATGTGTATATGCACATGCGTGGTATGAAATTTATTTTTTAACATCTTTGTTTTGATAGACGTCGTGTTAAGTGTTTCAGCACATAAGAGCA